AACACGATTCCTTGAAGGAGGACACTTCCATGCTCAGTTTTGTGTTTTAGCATGTAATGAAGAGTTACACATCACAGTACGTCTTTGGAACTGTGGGCTTCCTAGATATGGTCAGAGTTTAGCAGTATCTTTCTAAAAACAATATTCTGATACCACTATCATTTGGTTAAAATACATTAGCCTTTTAAAAAGGGTAGAATAAATCTACTTTTAATTACTATCAGTTAGTTAATATAGATTGTTAGCCTTTTTAAAAGGATGGAGTAAGTCTACTTTTTTTTTTTTTTTCAACATTTATTTATTTTTGGGACAGAGAGAGACAGAGCATGAACGGGTGAGGGGCAGAGAGAGAGGGAGACACAGAATTGGAAACAGGCTCCAGGCTCTGAGCCATCAGCCCAGAGCCTGACGCGGGGCTCGAACTCACGGACCGCGAGATCGTGACCTGGCTGAAGTCGGACGCTTAACTGACTGCGCCACCCAGGCGCCCCGTAAGTCTACTTTTAATAACTACTTTCATTACTTTTATTTAAACTTACCAGCAGCTGAACACTATCTTTCCCCAAAAGGTGTAGAATCTTGTAAATGCTTGCAAAGATTAAGGGATAAGTGTAACCCCTCAATCGTTCTGTCCATTCCCAGGTCAAATAACCATAATTAGTAATATTAAGGACTGATGTTAAATAGCACTGAAACAAAACCTATTTTCATTTCTATGCATAAAACTCTTTTTTTGACAAAGAAGCTTAAAAACACTATTTTATACTGGTTTTTCAAACTAAAAATAGAATCGACCAATTAAACTCATAACTTCTTCAAGATGGGAATGTGCTTTTTTACTTCATCTACATCCTCCACAGTACTGAGCACTATGGCAATACATGCTAGTTAAAGGCTGAGTCAAGTATATTAACATCAAAGAAAGATATAGAAGAAATATTAGTGTAAAATAATGGTATATTTTGATAAGTTAAAATTACTTAGAAAATATATGGAAAATCGACTAAAAATACATAATAGAAGCTAACACAATTTCTAAGATGAATATACATTCATAATATAGGAAGGAAACTACAAAGGATATTTGAAAACCATGTGATGTGCAACTTCAAGAGACTGCCAATATTCATCTGGAACAAAACTTGTCTGGACTAAAAAACAGTTACATATTCGTAATGCTATAGTAAACAAGACCAGATAAATGTTTTCACCAAGAAGATCTGAAAAACAAAACAAAACAGGTAATTGTGGCATAAAAGTCAGGCAAGTTCCACTTGCAGAACTAATGCTCTGGTTGGCCCCTTGCTTAGATTCTGTTAAGTCACCGTAGAGAACTCTGGCCTCTCTACACTCTGGCCTCTCCCGTCAAAACAGAACTGGGCTGAAAGTTATACAAGGGCCAGAGTCTCACCATTGGGTAATTGCCACTCCTTTCATCTTTCTTGGAACTAACTGTATAAAGAGAATAGTAAGATAAATACTGAAAAAGAGACTGGGTTAACTAAATGAAGCCTGAGGCTAATGAGGTAATATCCTATATGGGTAGCTAATGAAAGAAACCAGCTAACAAAGTACTAAGGAGCAACTCTTCTATATATGTCAAACAGTGGCATATCAAATGGTCCTTTGTATGTTTTTAAATAGCCTTTATTGATGTTTATGCAAGGTGCTGAGTTCATTCCTTCACACGCCTTACCTCGTTTAATCCTCCCTCCAAACTATGCTAAAGGGTAGATATTGGTCCCATTTTACCTAGGAAATTGAGACTAAGACGTTAAACTGTCTTGTCCAAAGTCAAAAAGGTTGTAAATGACTAAACAGGACTCAACACAGGTCTATCTGCTGCATCCAAAGCCCTGCTCTTTACCACAAGTGGACAGTCTGCAGGCTGAATACAGAGTTTTTTTGGGGTTTTTTTGTTGTTTTTTAATGTGAATCTAGTTGCCAACATTTTAAAATCCTATTTTATATTAAAATCTATATTGTAGCATTTCAAAACTAAGAACTGACGCAGAGCTCAACTGGCTGGTTCTGAAATATAAGGTGCTTTAACTTATTTAGACGTGCCTGTCTGGCCTCCTGAGCATTTGTGTTTGCACTCTAATCCATTTTGAGTCTTTTGCTATCATTCTAGGTTCCTGCCACTCTCCTTCTTTCTTCTCCAGGAATCACATTTAAACATTTTCCAGACAATTGGTACATTCAACACAACATACATGCCCCATCTCAACTTTCATCTTTTAGAAACACTTAAAGAAACCTCCCGACTGAAATATATCTGCTGAAAGCATACCTTGTGAAAAAACCCTTTTACTCTGTGGACTGGGGAGAATAAACAGTACACAGAACTGGCCCTTGGACAGGTGATCTTGAATCCCTAAAAGTTCAACTATTTGTCCAGCTGCCTCTCCCTTTCCCCGCGTCACAACCCTCCTTCTTCATTTAGCAAAATGATTCTCCCCTTTCTTGGTCTCAGGTTTCCAGAAGAGAAACGCGGCATTCTTTTCAGCCACTTATACCGTGCTTGGTATATATAATGCGCTCAAATATTTACTGAATGAATGAGAAGTCCATCTTTATATGAAAACCCCGCTCCGACATATCAAAAACCCACTTGCTGGGGTGATTTTTCTCCTGTCAACATCATCACGACATACCAAAGAGAAGACAGGGGGCGGTGGGAAAAATAAATGGGTTAGGAGTCAGACCTGGTCCCACCCCATCCAGGAATCAACCCCTCCGCGGCTACGAAACCTCAGGTAACTCCCGGACTGGGTACCCCCTTTCTAAAATGGGGGTGGCAACGTCATTAAATTCACTCCACACGGCCGGCGGCGGCAGAATTAACTGATGCAGAAAAGCACACTGCAAGAGGCAGGGATCGAGAATCCGGTCTCGATCGCACGATTTCTTGGCAACCCTACCCAGCAGATGGAGCCCTAGCTCAGGGTCCGCGGCTTCCCGCCACTGCCTCGGAGCTCCGCGCCCGCACCTCATCACTCACCTCCGCTGCGCTCGGAGCTATTCGGGGGGCTGAGGTACAAAGTTGACTTTCTCTTTCGCAGCTTCATCTTCTCGTGGGAGCGGTTCTGCAGACCGCGGAAAAAGAGTCGGCCGTTGCCTCCTTCTTGCTCCATCCTGCACCTATTTCGATATCTACTGAGGATCCCCTGACACCTCAGTCCCTCGGAAGAAGGACCCTGAAGTAACGCGCGTTGCTCTTCCGCTCATTAAGTTTGGCCACTGCAGCAGCCGTAGCTCGCAGGCGCGGAGATACCTGGGAAAAGGCAGCCTCCTCGCGCCGGCCTGCGAATGCTTCGGAATATTGCACGTTTGTCTGGCGCGGGTAAGCTTTGTCGTGAGCTCGCCTGCGTTTTTCCTTTGGCTTCTCCTTCTCGTGAGATTGCTGCCCGGACTTGGCTTCTAGGTCTCTGAGCCCAGGTTACTCTTCCGGAAGCTGCTGGAAGGATCCGGAGCTCCCTTGCGCTGGGGCAGGCAGGAGGCGGGGTCAGCGAAGCCACGGCCACGCGTTCGGGACGTTTTGGTGGTAAAGATAATAGTAAACTTGTTTGCGTGACATTTCACTATTTGGGTGGTCGCTCAGTAACTGTCGAACCAAGTGGGTAGGGTAGGATGATTTAAGCTGATGTACAGATGTGGGAAATGAGGTTAGGAAAGGTTAAATGACTTGGGTAGGGTCACTTAGCAAGCTAGCGGCAAAAGAGGGAATCTCCCTATTTGGTATGGTTTATCTTACAAACAGCTGACTTGCTTTTTTTTTTTTTTTTTTTTTTTTTTTTTTTTTTTTTTTTTTTCTGTTACATTCAGCAGGCGATTAACCATAGCATGCTTCGTAAGCTGTCGTTTATTTAGATTTCTTCTCCATTTTACCGATATTAAGGACAACCTGGTTTCTAGTACCGGTTCTGCCACTAATTTTTGTAACCTCGGGGGCTGGTCTAGGTGACGGTGAAAGATTGCTATGAGAAAACATGAAAATCTTTTACTTTGCTTTCTTCTTTCACAAACATGTTTTCTCCAGACACTAAAGTGTTCTCAAGTATAACTTTCTGAGAAATAGTGGAGTTTTAACTCCTCAGCTTTTAAAAGTAAACCCAGCCAGATCTCCTTTATATTTTTATCAAAAGTGGATGGAAATTATTTGTTTGATGTCTACTTGTACCTTCTAAAGCATTAAAGGGAACTCACAAAATCTTTTAGCCTGTTTTTAAAAATTGTTTTTAATCACACATACTGCCAAAACCCATAAAATAGTTTAAAGGGGGGGGGGCAATAATGAAAAGTAACAATTCTCTTTCTTCTACTTCAGATTGGATTGACAGTCACTTTCAACTTCTGGGAGCTGTTTGTTACAGTAGTTAGCTTCATGTAGTATGTGAAGGTGTAAACAGTATGTCTCTCTCCGCCCCCTCACTTTTGCCATTTTAAAAATTATCCATTTAGGGGCGCCTGGGTGGCGCAGTCGGTTAAGCGTCCGACTTCAGCCAGGTCACGATCTCGCGGTCCGTGAGTTCGAGCCCCGCGTCAGGCTCTGCGCTGATGGCTCAGAGCCTGGAGCCTGGTTCCAATTCTGTGTCTCCCTCTCTCTCTGCCCCTCCCCCGTTCATGCTCTGTCTCTCTCTGTCCCAAAAATAAATAAACGTTGAAAAAAAAAAATAAAAATAAAAATAAAAATTATCCATTTAAAACTATGGAGAATATGCTGCAATAGGATTTAGCTTTGTCTCACACCATCCCCAACCCTCATTTGCCATACTCCCTATATATTTCTATTCGTGCTTTAGTTAAATCAAGTGATATGTACATATTATGATGAAAATACTATTCACTCTGGATAGAATCTTTTCAAGGATGCTGTGCTAAGTTATTGCTTTGCTTCCCATTTTTTTTGTACACAGATCTGAAGATCTTTCCTGGATGTGGACTATAATTTTTCAAAACCACTGTGTGGCAGAAGCACTGAATACATTTGTTGAAAAATGTTTGGGAGATTGACTCTTCCACAACTACTTTTTGCTAGCATCCTTGGAATTGCTGGAGGAATGTATATTTATCAACCAATATTTGAACAGTACTACCGAGATAAGATGGAATTTAAAAAAAAGTTGAAATTGACACAAGAATCAGAAGAGAAGAAAAGTTAATACTACATGGAGTTGAACTGCAATTGTTTAAAGGTCTACTGAAATTATACACTGACTATAAATAATATAGTAAGAACTTCTCAAATATATTTTAAACATAAATAAATCATAGGCCATGATTTTAAAACAAACATTGTCGATTTTAGTGTTTACTTTTATTTGCCATCTTATGTCTTTTAACCAAGACAGATTAGTATTGTCTTAAGTATATTTATTTATTTTGAGAGAGAGAAAGAGCATGCATGGTGTGTGTGAGTGGGGGAGGGAGAGAGAGAGAGAGAGAGAGAGAATCCCAAGCAGGCTCTGCGCTGTCAGCACAGAGCCTGACATAGGGCTCAAACTCACTAACTGTGAGATCATGACCTGAACCAAAACCAAGAGTTAGACACTTAACCAACTGAGCTACCCAGGTGACCCTAGTAATTTTTTTAAAAACTAAAATGAATGTCTTAGGGAGTATTTTGTTTCCTAGTTGAGGTTAATTTTTCTGGGAATGCAGCATATACAGAATCATGGGAAGATCCTTTATATTTTTAAAATAGCTGAAAATGATGTTTATAGCACTGTTTATAGATGAAGTGGATCAAGTTAACTACCTTAGGCAGAATGTCCCTCAAGTAGCCTACAATTAGCCTGGTTTAATATACTTGAGCAGTCTTTCAGCCCCAGGCAGAATGGAGGAATAAATTGAGAATTGGGGTAGCCCAGAGCAAGGTGGGGTTTTAGAGAAGATAGTGTTATATAAGATGGCAGATATGACACAGGATCTGTTTAACCTAAGTAAATTTACATTAATAATGGTGGTAAAGGTGGAATTAATTTGTTATGAATCTATTATTTATGTAAATAATTTTTTGAAATCACTAAGAACTAATAATTTTCATTCTAATCTTAAGCTTCTATTTTCAATGAGAGCTATCAATGTAATCACACGTACAAAATGCTTTATTTAAAGCAACTCTTTTATCGTTGGTTTCTTTTTCTTTAAAAGTAAATTTATTATAACTTAATCTAAGCTACCTATGTTGAATGGAGGCCAGCATGGGTAATTTTTTTAAAAAAGAGTGAAGAAAAAATTACAAAAATAGTACACGTTCATTAAAAATTCAAACGATACAGAAATGAACAAAATGAAAAGTGAAAATTATTGATGCATATACTGATTTAATCTGTCCCTCCAACAGTTTAGTGTGAATTTTTGTGACTGTTTTTCCTCTATGCACATAAAAATACACATGATAATTTTATTTTATTTTTTATTTATTTATTTTTTAATATGAAATTTATTGTCAAATTGGTTTCCATACAGCACCCAGTGCTCATCCCAAGAGGTGCCCTCCTCAATACTATCACCCACTTTCCCCTCCCTCCCACACCCCATCAACCCTCAGTTTACTCTGTTTTTAAGAGTCACTTATGGTTTGGCTCCCTCCCTCTCTAACTTTTTTTTTTTTCCTTCCCCTCCCTCATGGTGTTCTTGCTAACTTAAAAATGCACATGAAAATTTTAATTCATCTACCAAGTATTTACCATGTGATAGGTTTAGCTTTGCTTGACTACAGATAGATTCTTTTGCATGAGTTTTCTCATCATGGAACCCAGGCTCAAGGAGCATCCCCTTTCTGGGATATGACAATATAGGACTGAGAGACAGAGGAAACTTGGAATTGTAAGCTTCTGCTCAGTTGTGGCAAATGTCAAGCCTTGTCATATTCTTTTGGTTTATAGCAAGGACATCCATGGTCAACCCCAGAGTCAAGGGCAGGGACACAGACTTCATACAGGGTACAGAGTCAAGTCATATGACAATGAGCAAGAATATATGATCCTGTTATATCCAAGGAATGATAAACCCATATATGTAGCATCAACTTAAATTGAACTGCTTTTGATATTCCTGAGAATGATGGCATTGTCAGTTTAGCATTTACATACCAAGCGGCAGAGAATGAGTTAATTTTTTTTTCTAATAAAGATATTGCAGCTATTTAAAAGAAGGTCACAATAAGATACCCACTTGACATACAAACAAAAAAGATGGAAAAATAATAAGTGTTAGCAAGGATATGGAGAAATTGAAACACTGATCCACTGCTGATGGGAATGTAAAACTTCAGTTGCTGTGGAACAATTTGGCAATTCCTCAAAAAGTTAAGCAGTGTTACCTTATGACCCAGTAATTTTACTTCTAGGTATATATCCAAGAGAAGTGAAAACATGTCCACACAAAAATTTATACATGAATGTTCATAGCTTCATTATTATAATAACTAAAAAAGTAGAAATTACACAAATGTCTATCAATGGATGGATAGCAAATTATATTTCCACACAGAATATTGCTCAGCCATAATTAATGAAATAGTGATACACGGTACAACATGAATAAACTTGGAAAAACATGAAAGAAGATGGTCACAAGAGACCCTATATTGTAATTCCATTTATATGACATGTCTAGAACAGGCAAATGGAGAGAAACAAAGTAGATTAGTGGCTGCCAGGATATGGGGTTTCTTTTCAAAGTGATGAAAATGTGTTGGAACTAGATAGTGGTGATCAGGGACAACTTTGTCAATATACTAAAGACACGGAATTGTACACTATAAAATAGTGAACTTTATAATAATTCTATCTCAATAAAGCTGTCTTAAAAAAAAAAAAGAAAGAAAGAAAGAACAGGGATACAGCATCCAGAATAGCTGCAATTGAGATAGTTCATTCTTTCTGCCACAATCCATCTAGTTTGTTTTTTATGTGTAATAAAAAATACATAGCATGAAATTCATTATTTTTACAGGTTTTATGTGTACAATTCAGTGGCATTAAGTACATTCACACTGTTGTGTAACCATCATCCATTTTTCTCTAGAACTCTTTCCATTTAAATTTTGCCAGGCCCAGAGAGGTGAATTCAGTGGGGATATAGAGACTCTGCCCACATCCTTAAAATCTTTAAAGATGGCATTAATGTCTGCAGTTCTTTGCTTAAATTGCTTCTCATTTACTGTTTTAGCCAGGGAAAGCATATTCAGAGGCTTTCAGTTGGTTCTTTCTACAATGAGGATTTGGTAGGGACTGAATGTGACACCCCTGGCAAAATTCATATGTTGAAACCCTAATCCCCAGTGTGATGGTATTTGGAGGTGGGGCCTTTGGGAGGTAATTAGATTGTGCAGGTGGAGCCCTCATGAATGGGATTAGTGCCCTTATAAGAAGAGATACAGGAGAGATGATCACTTTTTTCACCATGTTAGGATTATAGCAAGAAGGTACAAACTGGAAAAGGGCCTTCTCACCAGACACCGAATCCATGAGCACCTTGATTTTGGACTCCCCAGCCTTCAGAACTGTAGGAAATATTTGTTGTTTAAGTCACCCATATTATGGTATCCTGTTACAACAGTCTAAGGCAGGGTTCCATAAGGTCAGTGATTATAGTGTATGATCCTTTTAATGTATTGTTGAATTTAGTTTGCTAATATTTAATTGAGAATTTTTGTGTCTATATTCATCAGCGATATTGGCCTGTAATTTTCTTTTTTTGTGGCATTCTTACTTGGTTTTGGTATTAGAGCTTTGTAAAATGAGTTTAGAAGCATTCCCTCCTCTTAAGCGTTTTTGGAAAAGTTTGAGGATAGGTATCGAATCTTTGAATGTTTTGTAGAATTCACTGGTGAAGCATCTGGTCCTGAGCTTTTGTTTGTTGAGAGGTTTTTGATTACTGATTCAACCTCCTTACTGGTAATTTGTCTATCCCAATTTTCTATTTCTTCCTTGATTCTGTCTTGGAAGATTATCTGTTTCTAAGAATGTATCCATGTCTTCTATGGTGTCCAGTTCATTGGCAAATAATTGTCCATAGAGGTCTCTTATGATCCTTTGTATTTCTCTAGTACCAGTTATAACCTCTCTTGCTAGTTTTACTAACTTGAGCCTTCTCTTTTGGTAAGTCTAGCTAAAGGTTTGTCAAATTTGTTTATCCTTTCAAAGAACCCACTCTTAGTTTCATTGATTTTTAAATTTTATTTTTAGTTTCTATTTCATTTATTTATGCTGTGATCTTTCTTATTTTTTTCTTTCTACTAACTTTGGGCTTTATTTATTCTTTCCTAGTTCTTTGAGATGTAAAGTTAGTTTATTTGAGATTTTCCTTGTTTCTTGAGGTAAGCTTGTATCATTATGAACTTCCCTATTAGAACATTTTTTGCTGCATCCCATGGATTGTGAATTGTTATAGTTACATTTTCATTTGTCTCAAGGTATTTTCTGATTTCCTCTTTGATTTTTTTTGTTGACCCATTGATTGTTCAGTAGAATGTTGTTTAATTTCTACATATTTGTGATTTTTTTTTTTTTAGTTTTCTGCTTGTAATTTTTTTTTAGTTTCATGCCATTGTGATCAGAAAAGATGCTTGATAGGATTTAAGTCTTATTAAACCTATTGAGACTTGTTTTGTGGCCTAACATGTGATCTATCCTGGAGAATGTTTCATGTGCACTTGAGAAGCATGAGTATTCTGCTGCTTTGGGATTAAATATTCTGTATTTAGCTATTAAGTCCATCTGGTCTAATGTGTGGTTTAGGCCAATGTTTCCTTATTGATGTTCTATCTGGATGATCTATCCATTGATGTAAGTAGGGTGTTAAAGCACACTACAATTATTGATGCAGACAATTTCTTCCTTTAGATCTGCTAATATTTGTTTTATATGTAGGTGCTCTTATGTTGGGTGCACAAATATAATTTTTATATCCTGGGTTGGGTTGACTGCTTTTTCAACAGGTAATGCCCTTTGTCTTTTATAGTCTTTGTTAAAGTCTGTTTTTTCTGGTATAAGTATAGTTACACCAACTTTTTCTTCATTTTTATTACATGGAATATTTATTTAATCTCTTCCCTTTCAGTCTAGGTGTGTCCTTACTTCTGCAGAGTTTCTTTTAAGCAGTATATAGATGAGTCTTGTTGTTTTTAAGTCCACTCAGCTTCTCTGTGTCTTTTGATTAGAGAATTTACATTTAAGGTA